TGTTGTTTCTTTCTAAGTGTATACCTTGTAATATATGAATAAAAAAAGAAATGGTGTTTATCTACTCAAAAAAAAAAAATAAAAGAATATAATTCTTGATAGTATTACTAAATAAAATTTTAACTTTAAAATTTAAAATTTTTTTAAAAAAATTTTTCAATATAATAAATAATTGATTATTACAAATAATTTATTAAATAAATTTTTTATGAAAATTTACTAGTGTATAAATTTATATCTTATAAAAATTAACCATAGTTTAAATGTTTTTTGACTTAATTTTTTTGAATAAATTAATTGTAATTAATATTTAAAATTTTCTTTAAATATAACATAATAAATCATAATAAAAATTTTAATTAAAAATTTAAATTTTATAAATATTATATTTATTAAACTTACTTATAATAATTATAATAAACCTAATTATTTCCTTTATAGTAAAATGATTTTAAACAATATTCTTTGTTTTTTTATTTAAAATAATATTTATTAACTTTAATATTTTGTTTTTAATATTATTAATCTAATAGTTGAAATTGATTCAATATTACTTATTTGATCTTCTTATATAAATAAAATTGTAAAATTAATAAAAAATATTAAGTAGTAAGATAAGTTTTTAAATTAAAAGTGAGGACATAATTTAAATGTTTCTTATTATTAAAAAAGGTTTTTTTTTAAATATAAAATCAAAAAAAAACCATTTTTAAAGGTTTTTTGCAATTTAAATCATTTAATTCAAGTGTTTTTTAAATTATGTTTTTATTAAAGTAATGAATAAATGATTATGTCTCTTCAAAAGGGACATAATTAATCTATAAAATTTTGTATACTAAATAATTTAAGGACCCATCCTTAATTGAGTATGAGTATACAAATATTTTTTTAATAATATAAATATGTAATAATAATTAAATTGTTATTTTAATTAAGCTTAATAAATATATAATCAAATAAATATCAAATTATACATTTAATTTTTATAGTTAATAATATAAATATGTAATAATAATCAAATCATTATTTTAATTAAGTTTAAATAAATATATACAGTAATTAAATAAATATCAAATTATACATTTGTTTTTTATAGTTAATAATATAACTATGTAATTGTTATTTTAATTAAATTTAAAAAAATATGTAATTAAATAAATTATTGAATTATACATTTAATTTTTATAATTAATAATATAAATATGTAATTATAATTTGTTTAAGCTTAATTAGGACATTATTATTACTATTTAATAATACCCCATTGATAAACAGTAACTAATAAAATCATGAAACATGAAAAGCTTTATTAGCAATGCTGAAAATAAGCACAAATATTTACTGTATTTAGTATAAAATCAAACTACGTAGATCTAAATCATCTACGTAATTTACTTTTTCATATGTACAGATAAATAATTTCCGTTTTTTGTTGATGTATCTGCAGTTGGACGTAACCATGTTGAATAGTTGTTTGAAGCGGTGTGGTATTGTATCTCTCACTCAAACAAATATATCGCATATTCCTAAATTATACTCTACGGTTAGCATACGTTAAACATACAATGCATAATTCCAAAAATATCAAAAAACTAACCCGAATACCAATCAATACTTTATGAAGCTTTATAAGTGACTCCAGATCTCTAACAGTTTTTGGTATGGTGCACGATTCCACCTCAACAAGTAAATATATTCCGGGGCAATATGTCATAACATAAACATCCATTTTGTGGCTATTGATAAAAATAACAATTTTGTTCGTTTCATTTGGGCGCATCCCTTTAAATCTATAGAGTCCTTGGCGTGTATGGAACCACGGTAAATATCACAATAAATTTTATGCTTCTCATCCTGTCTTTTGGGACTTGTTACTTCGCAGAAAACACCCACGCAGGTCTCGTCCTTATTTTTCAACAAATAGTCAGGCAATCTACCACGATTTCGCGCGTGATTTAGATGCCTTTGACTCTGTATCGATCCTATAGGAATAAAACGGTCATAAATTAATCCTTTTTTACAAAAATCAATCAATAATCTCATAACATGAGTGAATTGTGACATAATAAAGTAATGGATGGTCTTATTAAACAATGGCCCAATGTAGTCTACAATGAATCTTCATTCATTTTATTCACATCTACCAAAGGATTCCAAGTGGCACATTCTTCTAATAAACCGAAAAATATTTCATTCGATAAATTCCCACTATATTTCACAGCAGACAATTTTATGAATCTTGAGATTTCTTCCTGAGAATTCCGTTGAAATTTCTAACGAAAATATAATAAAACAAAATAAGAACGATTCACTTCAACTATTATACAAAAATTACAAACCTTTTTATTCTCATTCATGAAATTTATCAATTCCTACAGAGTTGTAATTTTTACAAATTTGGAGATATCTGACCGAATTTTAGAAATATCGTTTCTGTTAGAAAATAATCCAAATAGGATTGCTCATTTCGTTGTTGGAAAGAAAATATTGATGAAACAGATAACAGATGATAGATATGTTGTTCTTCTGGAATATGAACTCCATGACATATTTGTTCAAGGTTGCTCTGTTGCCATCTCAACAATTTAACCACTAATTCGTCGGTCGTACTTATCATAGACCCGTAACTATCTCCTTAATTGTAGATATATCAGAAGGTTTGAAAAACAATTCAGTTTCCTCGTCATAATTTTCCTGTAAGAGAAATCAAACAGTTGATATGATAATTAGATTCAAGTATTTATAAGATTCAACGTATATTGCCTAACATTTCTTATACCACAAATCTTATGTTATCAATCTCTGGTCTATCATATCTGTACTTGGTTGCATGGTGTGATCGTAATTCAGGTCGTGTTATGTGTATTCTCTATATATAAAGTTCCAAAGTTGACACGAACCAGTATGAATACACTAAGAATCAGAATGGCATATTGCGTACTTTTTCAGGCTCATGAGCAGATTCTTGTTCGGAATAGTCCGGGATATTTTTCCCATATCTTGTTTGACGCCGATTTTGCTTTTGAGTGGGCTCCAATATGTCCTTCTCAGATTCCAATTCGTTTTTTAAAAACTGGTACCGTCTTTTTCCAATAAGAGCACGATGATTTTTCTCTTCTTCAGATTTATTGACAACATACTTGAGCTTTAGAAAGATGTCAATTTATATAATTTATATAGTAAATATACACAACATTACGTGAACTCACATCCGAAATTGCCATTTGCAATTTAGTTTCCTTCGATATTGTTTTTGGACGATTATCTCAACGCTGTATTATTTTTTATCCCTCTTAAAAGATTAACTCAATGCAGTTAGTATTGAATCATGCAAAATTTGATCATGCTTTCGTGCAATCCCCACTGATATCCTTAGAGTTGTTACTCAAATAAAATTTCTTGTTCGTTTATCAGAATGCTTGGACGCCATTGACAAACTAAACAAGCAACAGGGACCTATGCATTGATCTAGCCAGGGACCAACTAATGTATTCGACAATAGACAGTGGCATCCTACCAATGGAATATAGGATCAAAGCTTGGTATACAAATTCCAAACATAAGTATTTACATTTGTTATATTACTTAAGAAAAGGTGCTGAGTTGTTGTATGGTGGCTTAATTGAAAAAAAACCAAACAATTTAAGCATTTCTCACCTCGAAATTAGATAATAATTTTTGAGCCTTTGTTGTCTTAGAATTTCCATATTAGCTGATATTACTAATCTTTTTGAGAAGTGTCTTCCAGGCGCTATGTTTGAATTCCCTGTCTGAAAAATCAGAAAACCCTGATCTCCATTCTAGGAAACTAACATCCGACAGTTCAACTTCCTCAAAGTAGTTTATTCTTGGAATTGTCTAATATACAGAATAGGGTTATAATGGATTATAATACCATATAACAGTTAAAGTGTAAAACGCGACTTACAACTTCTATGTCTACTTTTTAGTGGTGACAACATCAAGATTGATAATATATAAATCATTATTTTATTTTTGAGTTAAGAGCACACATAAGTCAATACAGAGAATGTTACAAAGAGCTTTGTCAAAGTCTTTTTTTTTATATTTTTGTGATGTTTATTTTGGAGGTGAATTGCTATCTAATCCTATTAATATCTTCTTTTGATATACAATATTGTTTATTATATCTTTGATATTATTTCTAAAAAAAAAATAAAATTTTTTAAAAAAATTAGAGATAAAAAAAAAACAATAATCAAAACTTACAAATTTATTCTATTTGTAATTTTTTTATGATAAACAACTATTTTATTTCACAAAACATGTCACTCAAAAAAATTAAATCACAATTTCTTGTCAATCTTTTTTAAGGATCCTAATGATTCTCTTCGATTCTGTATTTGATTCTCAAGTTTATATTAAATTTAATAGGTGGGGTATACCCCACTATTATTTTTAATAATGTTCCGAACCTTATGCGATTCTGTTCGATTCTACTCGATTCCAATTTTCAGAACCATAATCTTTTTCAATATACTGTATCTTGATCTAATTAAAAAAGTAAAATTTCCAAAAAATTTTAAATCAACATATTTACTTTAAATCATTAAAATTTTGACACCTGATAAATAAAATATACATTTCACCAAAAATTGAATCTTGAATTTATTTATAAAATTCCTATAATGATTTGAATAAACAATAAATAATTAACTAATTGATATAATAAAATAATATATATATTATTATAATTAAAAAAACTCTTTCCCACTTCATATTCAATTTTCTTTTTAGGAAACTTCAAAAAAATAAAACTTTTCAAAACTCACAATCCATATAAAAAACAAATAAGAAGAACAATATTAGATATATTTTAAGAGCAAATAATCAATATCTTTTATTTCATATTTAGATATTAAAATTATTATATTATAATGTATAATTTTAATAAATATAAATTATTAAATTAAATAACAAAATTTTATTTAAATTTAATAAAAATTTTACCATATATAAAACTAATTGTTAGAAATATATTTACTTAGTTGAATAAAGTTATTTTATATAGTAAAATTAAAAGTTTTATATGAAAATAATATTATAAATAAAGTATAAAATATAATTATTTTTAAGAATTATTATATATATATACTGTATTTTAATAATAATAATAATTGGTTTATTTAACTTATATAGATAAGTATACATATAATATAATATAATACAAAAATTTAATCTAAGATAAAAAAAGCTAAAATTTATAATTTTTTAAAATTTTTTGTTGTATTGAATTTAAAATATCCATATAATTATTATCTAAATCTAATTCTGAATCTTGTTCTATAAAATTCAAAAGTGTATTGATACATTTAATTGCTACATCTTATTTAATCTTTTTTTATTGAATAGAATTGATAATATCTTTATTTGTAATATTTAAGTCTTTAAATAAGTCATCAATTTCATTAATAATATCTTCTTAATTATATGGTAATGAATGAATTAATTCTTCCATTTCTTCTAAATTTTGTTGTTGAAATGGAATTAATTCACCAGTAATAATACTATTAGATGCAGAGTTTGGGAATTATCTATTTCTTCAGAATATTGCAAAAATAAAAAAATATTAGTTTTTTTTTAACAATTGGAAATAAAATTAGAATTAAATTATTCCAAGCCTTCTTAATTCATTTTAATACCAGTTTAATATTAATATCTTCAGGTGTTTTTTCACTTTCATGTGTTAAGTTAAACTGATCCATTTTATATTTTTCTAACAATCTTTTATATTGCATCTATAAAAATCAAATATAATTAATATATTAAATAAATAATTAAATTTTAATATTTATCTTAAATGAATAAATTATTCCTGTATCTATTGATTGTAAATAAGCAGTTGTATTGGTAGGCAATGGGTATAATGTAATATTTGTTAAATTTATTGATTTTAAATTACTTTCACTAATATAAGCTGATGCTTGATCATAAAGAAAAATAATAAATCTATTTTCTTTTTTCATTTAAGTATTTAATTAAATTAAAACTTATTCCAAATTGTAATAGTTATTCAAGTACTTTTATTTCAAAAATAATTAACTGGAAGGTCTTTTTTTTTAATTTTATTCAAAACTCGGGGTGATTTAAAGTAATGAATAACCAAAGGTTTAATTTTAATGGAACAATAAAATATTAAATATATAAGTAAATAAAATTAATAAAAAATATAAAATTAATCAATATCTGTATTTATCTTTTTTTTCCCCAATTATAGTTTCTTTTGCAAGAGATTTTGATAGTTCCATTTTTTAATAAAACCCAATTTTATCACAATTAAATATATTATCCAAAAGTCAATCTTTTAATAACTCATGTAAAGATTTTTTGAATTTAGGAAGTTCTTCCAATAGAGCACTATTTTTTTTTTTATGATGTACAAATTATTTCAAATTTTCTTTTTTTAAAAAATTTAATAACCATTCTTCAGATATATTAAAATCTGAAATTTTCAATAATCTTGCAATTTCTTGGGCTTGATATATTAAGATAAAGCCTGTAATGATTAAATTAGTCTTTAATGCATTATCAACCCATATAATTAATACTTTTTCTAATAAAGGATACTTGGGACTTTTTTTTCTTTTTATATGCACTTCAATACTATTGAGATCAATATTGAAACAATAGTTACCATTTTGTAAAATTTTAATAACAGTACTAAAACTAATATTGTATTTTTAAGCAAGAATTTTGTTTTGAATATCTGGATGCTTTTGTTTTAATAAACAAAGCTTATATTTTTGATATTATTTTAAAGTATATTTGGGAAATCTAATGTTGTGTTTTATTTTGTTTAATAAATTGATTATAAAAGTGAAATTAATGAATAGATATAAAGTGTATAAATATATATAAGAACAACAATTAAGTATATCCTTTAAATTAATTTTGGATCCTAATTACTTATAAAATTTTATTTATTTTTTTTTTATCACGAACAAGCATTGAATGTGAGACTTTATTTAAATAAAAATATTTACTGTCATTACATTAACAATCTTTACATAGTAA